CCCGGCGCTGCCCCGCTGCGTGGCTCCTGAGGTATAAGCACCACATGAAAGCGCTTCGTCAGTACGTAAAGAAGGAAGCTGAAGTTCGTGTTTCATTTCCCCCGACTGTGACTGGAAGTGCTCACGCGATTGCACACCAGAAGCGGTCTAGCAAATTGCTTCGTTTATTTGCTGGTGCCTGGACTCCAGTAACTACACCAGTGACTTTAGTCCTCAGGAAGTGGCCGAGTTTGCCGGCAAGAACTCCTAATGGAGCAGCCAGCCATTTCTACCCCCCTCCTTTGTGATAAAGTGCCGTGTAATCCTAGGTCAGTTACTGTGATCTAGGACGGATCTAAAAGCTATGGTCCAGAAGGAGGATCTCGGCGTCAGCTCTCTCTTGGAAGCTGAAGTCTCCTGATGTGTCTGGAGTTTTGCTTCGGCAAAAGTCTCTGTTGAAGCCACCCTTCACAAACCGAGGAAAGCCTAAAGCCTCAACTTCCCGGGCAAGTGGTTTACTCACGAACCTATCGTGTAGAAACAGGAACCACCGTCTCGTCATCCTCCATTCCCCCGCTGCCCCTAAACACGTACAAAAAGACTTTTTACCCCATACCAAGTGACCTTTGCTTAGTCCTGGTCACTACCTTACTTCAGGAAGGGATTTTGGATCCCAGAAGAGGACAGTGTTCGCTTACAACCCTACTACAAGGGAAGATTTCAGATGTAGCCCTGTCCTCAGTTCCTGCTCGGCAGGTCCAGCAGAGCTTTGCTCCCTATGCTGACCACCTTTGTGCACAACGAGGGAGTGCAGATGCCTCATTTTGGGGTTCTGCACCTGCTTTGAGCATGGGCATTTGGTTGGGTGTCAGTCTAAACCCCTTTGTCATTTCACCCAGAAGCTTACATTAAAAGAAGCCGCAGTTCTCATGTGGACGCCATCTCCCATTTATCGTGTTTCCTTTCTGAGATGTCTGTATTTGGAGAACTTACTCTGAAGTCTTCTTAATGTTTATTTCTTGCCCTTTAAAGGAAGATAAGAGCATATTAACAAGGCTGCAGAACTTCTCTCTTCCTGTGAGCTACATGAAATTGTGGAAATTCCCCTGTGTTATTCTTAAAGAGAAAATTTTGGTGTGGCTTTGCAGTTTTTCACTGCAACGTAATTTACTACTGAAATTTTAAAGACACACATTT